ATAACACAATATGGGTGAAACAGTCCACTTAACTTCACTAAATTAACCTTATCTCATCAACCACCCACAGCCAGGGTGCTCTCACACATGCCATTTCTGCTTCCATCATCACTGCTAGATGAAAGTTAAACAAAATATCATCAGTTGAAGACCTATAGTTTCTCAGTGCTTTTGGCATTGCAAGACAACAAGGAACGCAGACCACGAGGGCGCTAATTCAGAGCTCTCCATGTCTCTCTTTGATTTTCCTTAATTTTTAATAATTTTTTTCCCATTTCTGCCATTTCAAAAAAATCAAACATAGCAGATGAGTTAGTTTCCAATAGTACTATATGTTAAATCCTCACTGGCTTTTGGCAAAGGTATGCCCAGTTATCCATCCCCTTGCTCCCTCCGCTGCCTTTATTGACAGTTCTCACTGAAACACCCAAATCCTGCTCATCCAGCAGCATGAGAGAGCTGTGCAGCCTCTGCATGCAACAGGCCCCCCAACCTGCACTGAAAATCATCTGTGACCAGGATAAACTCTGCAACAGAATTCTCAGAGCATCTATCCAATGAGTTTTGAACAATAACCAGCTATATGCCTTAAGCCTTCTGACATGTGTCTTGGTACTGTCATACAAGCGTGTGGTATAGAAGTATCCTTATCATTCCCAGATACTGGCAGCCTAGAAACCAGAAGGATAATTGACAAAAATACCCACAGTCCCTGTGTGTACCCATGGCTCACCTGTCCAGTGCTCATGCCACAAGAAGTGTCTAGGACCCACCGAGTACTGTGGCAGCACTAAGTTCTCACTGCTGTTGCTTTGCAGCTCAGCACTTCAAGGAGACCATGCAGCCACCAAAGTTGAGAAATTCAGTACCTGTGTGGTTCCTCTCAGCTCAGCAGGGAACCAAGTGCGGAAGAGTCTGCATTACTGTTTCCTGGCATGCGGGGACAGGAGAACTGCTTCACAGAAGTTAGTGTACCAAAACAATTCAGGCACTGATGTTCCTCAGCAATACAGAAAAACTACAGCTAGAGAAACCCAAGTTTCCCCAACCAGCTTGCTCTTTTCCATAGACCTAGACTTATCAGAGAATTGAATTGAGTGGACTCTGCTGAGGTGCCACTCCATGAATACATGTGAACTCAAATATCCTCCTCCACAGCTAAAAAGGATAGAACTATTGTGGACATTTACTAATTTTTCAGAATAAGGTTTATTTCTTCCATTTGATATCAGCCTAGATTGGCCTTTCTCAGGTACCAAACTGGTAGGAGTTTCACTCAATTACAGTAAGACCTTCCCTGTTCCTCTGTGTGAAGGGAGTTGTTGTGCCTGCGTAACTTATCCGCATACATACATTTCATCTTGCTACTTCTCTGAGAGAAATTTGGGACACAAAATTATACATTTAAGTACTGATCATTAAAGTGTACACAAATCCATACACAAAACACCAAGTAATAAGAAAGGTATTATTTGTACGAGTGTGCGCATATATATAAGCAATCCTTTCAGCACTAAGAAAACATCTTCGAAAACTACATCTTATACACTGAGATCAAAAGAAGTAGTCTCCCTGCTCTATAGCCACCTAGAAATCAGGTGGCTTGTCCAAGCCAGTCATCGAGACTCCTTCTGTAGTCAAGCAAGAGAGATAAGCGTCTCCAGATTGCCATTTATCCCATTCTAGGATAGGTGAGTAAAACAGGTGAGATGAATCACTCTGGCATCGCTGTCTGCTGGGGGAGGTGGGGGGAGGGTGGGAAATTACTTCCTAGATTACTAGCTTAGGAGAGATACTTAACTTTTAGCAGCTAAGGTTAAGAGGAATCCCATGCTACAAGATCAGGCAGGATTATAATGATTCACACACTTGTGAAAAATCACATTATATCTAGGCTCATGAAGAAAGTAAAAATTAAAATTTCCCATGGAAAAAAAATAATCATCTTAGACTCTCTATCATTCAAACTCTAGATCACTGAATCTATTATAGTCAGAGATTTGGGTACGTTTTGTGAGTTTTCCTAAAGACATAAGGTTCACACTGTTGTATTTTTCCCAAGAAAATTAGATTCACATTCCAAATGGTAAGAAATTATTTGTTGCAAACCTGATAGCCATTTAAATATGACAGACATATAAGAAAAATCTGAAACATTTATTGGAGCATGTTACCAAGTAAAGCACAGATTGTTCAGTGCTAGCCAAAGGGAAGGGTGGGAACACAGCATCACCCAAGAGATCAGAAATGCAGCTTAACCCAGAGGAAGAACTTGTTCAGCTCACTGCTTCTGTTCATCTGACACCACAGTGTCAATTAGAGACAATAGTTTTTCCACATCTGTTGTTCTCCAGGAGTTCAAGGTTCTGTTTAAGTTTTGCACAATATTCATGCAAACAGTAGGAACAGCTATTTTTAGTAGTATCTCTCAGTGATACCTCTTCCACTACTAAAACCAATAGCACTATTTCTCCCTGCCAGCTAAGTATAGTAAATGTGAGTGTTTACTACCTATAAATGTACGTAATTCCACACAAACAAAAATCTCAGAACAAAAAACTGCTCAGACCAAATGGGTACAGTTTGCAAGTTCTTTTAAACCACTAATATTTACATTAAATAGGGAGCAATATTTAATACTTTCATGAAATTCACACTTGGCATTCTTGCAAGGCTAACTGTTAAAGAAATTGAAATTTCAGGCTTGTACTAGTAACATATGTAATTTCAGTCACTGGGTGCCCAGTTTCTCCCTGCATGGAAAAAACAACAGGTTACATCAAAAGCCCTGGATAAACTAAACTCAAAAATGTTTTGCTCTGCTCATTTCCTACTGTCACCCCCTTTCAGATTTTCCCTTCTCATGTCAAATTCTAGATGTCAGATCCTGATCTCACAAATCAAGTAAAATGTAGACATAAGATTTGCCCTTCTTTGCATCACTGTGGCTGGTTGATACAATTCACAGATACTTTACCAGCACTATATTGATATTCAGGTGTTAATAAGTAACTGTCACAGTCACAACTGAAACACCGCCCTACATATAGTGATTCATATTTTGTGTTCCTTTAAATATAACTACAATACTGTCATGCTAACAATCTTCCTGAAATCCAAAATGGGTGAGGAGAATAGCAAAAGCTTTCATTTCCTTGTTAGTTTACAACCATTTCACCTGTCTTATTCCAGAGTCTGGTGCTGCATTCCAGTAATGGAAGCACTGGGAAGGCTAGAGAGGTGTAAAAGGACCATAAAAGAGAAACACCAGGAGACACCATGGAGATCAACAGGTCACACACTACAGTTTTACAGCCCCAGTTTCCAATGATGCTGGCTCACAGACAGCAGACAGGCATAGCCTGGACATCTGCAGGCAATGAGCAGAGCAAAGCAGTGCCTACATTGTATAAGTCCACTTGCTTCTACTCTCCATAACCCATTACATGTGTATGTTCCCACGCAGCAACTATGAGATTTGGGTTCAGAAAGGTGGCAGATTTGAAGCATTAAAGCACATATTTAAATGCCTTGCTTCACTGCAGACATACTTGGTGGGGGCTCTCCTCATACCTGCTAAATTCAACAGAGAAACGGTGCAGGTTCTCCACTAGACCACGATCCAGCTCTCAGTTTCCCCTACAGTCAATTTTCCCCCCTTTCTCTTCAATGCTCCCCAAAATTTTTTCTTCTGAAGAAAGCAGCTGAGAAAAAAGTCCAAAATTACCATCCTTTGCTCCTGCAGACCTTCATTTTTTAACACAGACTGGCACAACCAGCCCTGCAGTCTTTAGGTTATTTTATTTGCTCAAAATATATAGCTGTCAATATTAAAAATGAGTGATTATCTGCTAGCATACCAAGGAATTACATATCCAAGGTAAAGATTTTAAGTGCTAATACATTTTTACAGACTTCATCAGTACAAATAACAAGGACCAAGAGTTTCACACCTCCTAAGATGCACTACAGACACATTAAGACTAATTAAATTAACAGAATCTGGGTGCACATCTCTGGTCACACTTACATTAGCACCACACAGAGAAAGCTGAACCTGCAGAATGCAGGACAGTACTGAGGACCCAGCATCCACTTTGGGTTTTTTACTTTGAGCAACCTCTAACCTGGATCTGTGGGCCAAAATACCCGCTAGCAGCTGGCACTCACAAGGTGAAGCATATCCTACATCCATCCATCCATCTGACCTCAGCCTCACTTCATGACGTGAGCTGACAAGTACCAAGGGCGGACAACCGGAGGCTGACTTAAAAGTGCTGCAGATTTGAGGTAATCAGTGCTAAAGACTTTTGCTACATAAATATTGACATTTCGATGTATCTCAAGTACTTCCAGGTTTAAATGGTAGGGATAAAGCTGATTTGAAGATTCTCAGCAACCCCAGTTACTTATTTAAATATGCTTATTTTCATCACCACTGCTGTTTTCCTTCTGTGTACCCAAAACACTCCAAGGCACACTATGGCCATGCAGACTTGCCTGCAAATGAACATGAGTCCAGTTAGACATCTACAGGCCTTTACAACAAAAAAAGCTGAGCGGATCTATTAATTTCTACAGATATGGTCTCCTCCACCAAAAGATCTTGGGCAGAAAAGAATTGTTGGGTTTTATTTTTTAAATTTAATTTTATTTTCATATTTGCGTTAAATTCATGTATATGACTTATTGTGGAAATCAGACTTTAAATGAGCTTAAAATACTGGAAGAGAAGAAAATTTGAGCTGTTGATTCTTTTTAGACTTAGAGGCCCCCATAACAGAGTTGACAAGGCTACAAAAGTTCAACCATTTCGTGCGTGCAGCCTCCAGCAGTGGAAGTCTGCATTTTCCAGTCACCCATGTATTTATTTGACATTACCATGCAATGGGAAATAATGTTGTGGAAGCTTTGAGCAACAGTATGCAAGGAACTCCTGTAAAAAGAAGTATTAGCATACTTTTACAAATCTTGTCAACAACAATAATTGGATACAGTACCTTTTCCAGACCTATTGGCACATGAGTGTGGGAAGAGCTTGCTTGGAGGTTGCTGGTGCCAGTTCTGCAGGACAGTTACCAGCAAGCAATTCAGGGGACACTTTCACTGGCAACTGCAATGCAGGAAAATAAAGGGGAAAATATTTTGGGGGAAAAAAAATCTTGGAGAACAAAATACAGACTTTTGGTGGTTTGAACAACATAAAGCTATTGGAAACTGTCTGAACTGTAAAATTAGATTTATTTAAAGGACACAAATAGCTGGTTTGATTTTAAAAGCACTTCAGCTTCCATTGCCAAATGAAATTTTCTCAATCCTCAAGCTTTAACAGAATTGCCCAACTTTATTTAAACAATTCCTCACAATTCATAAGGCACATATGAGAACTTTGCTAGGCATCAGACAAAACAGCGTATGCAAGGATCTATCCAATTCCCTCCCCAAGTGCAGCTCTCATCTTGCTTTATAGAAATGCCACCTTGAATAAGATTACCATCCAACACTTACACCTTATTCTCTGCATCCTTCTCCCATGCACAAAGTGCCACAATTCCTGATAACTTATTCAAATTATTCTGGAGCCCAGGCCAGACTCTCAGGTGTAACTTTTTGAGCCAGCTTGGACAGAGAAGAGTTAGGAAATGCACTTTTCCACAGCCAGTTGCCAATGGCTCCCAAAACAACACAAGTTAAAAGCCAGTAATAGTCAAATGATAGTCTGACTACTAGTGCAGGGAAAGATATTATCAGAGATGTGTATAAGCTGACAAATACTTATTTATCAAATTTCCAAACTACTGTGTGAATATAAAAGTCAGTACTGTATTAGGGAATCTTTTTTTTCTTTTCTGCCTGAGAAAATTATCAGGGAGTTTCTCTATCTGCCTGGAAAAAGGACAGTGCTTAACTAGCATGAGACTGCAGTCTACTTGACTTTACAACTAGAACAGTCTCTGTCTGAGCACCAAGCTGCACTGGTTTAGAAAACACTCAAACGCTGAATTTTAAACTTGTGCAAGAGTCTCGTTTCAGTTTAATAGTGACTTATATTACTTCAGCCTAAATCTAATGCTTACTAATGTAAGCTAAACAGAACAAATCCTAAATTACGATGACTGTTTAAGACAAAGTTTTTCCACTGCAGTATCTAAGTCAGTATTAAACCAATCCGAGGTAATTTTAGAGGTAATTTTGTAGTATATATAAAGCCCTAAAGAATTCAGATAGAATTATGCTACTATTGTTCATACAAATAAAACAAAACTTGTAACACAGTGCAGCCTTTGTAGTTCTTTCTTCATAAGCTTTTGATAAAATAAGTGAAAATACTCTCTACTCGACATTTCCCTAACCTTTACCTATAAAGAAAGAAAGCTCGAGATGAGTCAATGCTTTTCAAATTGATTGATACTTTACACAAGACAAAATTAAGATTCATATGTCACGATTAAAGCAATTCTCTCCCAATGGTGACTGCGTCACTCCAAAAATAATTCAATGCAGTATTCCCCTGTTAAGTATAGAGAAAAGTGTTTCCTTTAGAAGAGGAAATTCTCCTAAGGAAGTTGTTTTGAGCTAAATAAAAGTTCAGGATGAAGCCAGCAAAAGGTGTGAAGGATTTCTCTTTGATTTCTAAGCTTGTGTATTTGGGCTCAGACAGACTACATTTTATGCACATATTAATAGGATGCTAATAAGCCTACAACTCTATTTTAACAGGGAGCTGTAGAGACAACCCGATATGTGGCACCAGATATAATGGCTGTCTTAAGCAGGAGATTTATTTCCCTCTTGCCCAGGGAGTGAATCGGACTACATACTTTTTATTACAAGTTCAGACGGAAACGTCTTGCAAAGTTAGGCTGCTGCTTTTGTTGGAGTGTTCCTCGGTTAAAGTAACCTTCAAAAGATTGAAATAGAAGCCAAGCCTTTTAGAGTAACTAGGAGCAGCTTTTGCTCTTCACTGGTAATCTTACATGCAAAATAAGGCCACTGAGTTGCAAACCTCCGTAAATTACTAGGTCATGAAAACAATCCTGATATCAAAAGCACAGAAACTGGTAGCACGTATTTAAACAGCTTGCTGCATCTCATAGAAAATTTTGAGAGATCCTATCTAGTTGTAAACGTCAGAGACATTTCAAAGTTAAATCTTTTAGGTTTTTTAAACACCTGAAAAATTTATAAAAGTGATATAAAGAGTAATAAGAACTAGTAAGTAAGACTAATCTCAACCATACATTTGTCCTAATTTGCAGCTACCATTAAAAAAAAAATCCAAAAATTACATCTAGTATATCTGGTGCCACATATCCTAAGAATTAATTTAACTACACATTCAAACAAGTCTTCCATACACCTTCTCCCCCAAACAAATTTGGTTTTCGTCATTTCAACTTTTTTTTTTTTCCATATTTCAGAGAGAGATTAGGACAACTTTTCTTTCATCATCAGACACTTAAAAAAAAGGCCTTTTGCTTAAAAATTGCATGCGAAACAGAATTTAAAAACAAACAAACAAACAACAGCAACAACCAAAAACCCCCCACCAAAACAACAATGAGCAAGTGATTTCCATTTGAATTTGAAACAAAAATCCTGGAAAAGTGTGATTGTTCTAAGCTTGTTGACACAGAAGCTTCCCCCTTTTATCAACTGTTGTTTTAATGCAACTCTAAAAAAATCATAACAAGGATTTTTGTTATTGTTTAAAAAACATCTACATGGCTTAGGCATTTTATATTATATTTTTTCAATATATATTCTTATTTCCAGTCTGGTCATTTGCCCAGCATGTACATATGCAGCTGCTAGTAAAACTGTGTGAAATATCTTCTATCCTAAGAAGGTTCTCAGCTTTAAATTTCTTTCTATCAGCTCAAGGCTGTACTGACAATCATCTCAGCAGTCAACAGAAAAAACTGGACAATTGTCAGTCATCAGTTACTCTGTCAGAAAGAAGAAACTCTTGCAGACTTTCTATTTTTAATGTGAAATAAATTAATATAGTTCTGAAATTACAAAGTAGTTTATTAATTTGAATGTTGACTAAATGGGATTTCCATCACCTTTCCTGTCGTTTCTGCATGGGAAGTTTCATCTGTTCACTTGACCTTCTCCTCAAGAGAACAAAAAAAGGAGAAGCAAAGTGCCACACGATGTCTCATGACTGCTTTGTAAATTATTCAAAATGCCCTTGTGTCCATGTAACTGGCTTCAAAGGACTCATAAAAGTATCCAAGCACATTCTGAAATGAGGCACCCCGCACTGCTCCAAAGGGGTTGTTCCTCACACTACAGCAGTCACTACAGCACAACAGTTTATACACTTAAGATGTTCTTTCGTAAATCTCATCTGCTCACATGATCTCTGTGCTGGAGAGGAGTCTCTCACCCTCCTCTTGCTGGAAGCCTAGCCTTGAGAAGGCCAAGTAGGAAGGTCCAGAGCTTCAGGCATCAGATTCGCTTGCAGAGGGAGGAGGACAACTCTAGAGGACGGTCATAGTATATTGAAGCCTGGGCCCTGATGCTTGTGTGTCTGGTTATACTGAAAGAGTAGCAATAAGACAAGTAATTACTATTATCTCTTGCAAATCTACTTCATTTTTCTGGCTATGTGACCTAAAAAGCCAGTGTCGAGAGAGGAACCTTTAAGTCTTCACAAAATGCAAGCCATAAACCAGAGCTCAGTCTATTGTGTTGTTACACATGCTGCATATAGATATAGATATATACACATACAAAATGGTGGTGCAACATACAAATACATATAAATACACTACTGGTTGCGTTCTGTACTGTAAGCTGTAAGATGTGAAGAGCACATGTGCCTGCAGAACCTGGGCAGCTGTCCTCCATCACTTTGAGAAGCATTCAGATAATGCTCCAAAGCCATCTTTTCTCCCTTGTTCAAGGACTACCTTTTGAAACCAGTACAGTCTTTATGACCCTCTGCCTAAAAGCATCCTCAGTCTCAAGGAAAGAGACAAAGACAGACAGACAGAGAGAAAGACAGACAGACAGACAAAGACAAAAACAGACAAAACCCCACAAGTTACAACAACTTGGCTTATTTGATCTGGGTGGGTTTTTTTCTGTCCATATTTCAGAAGACAGATGTCATCAGGATATAAAAAGATAATTTATGCAATGTCTAGATTTTAAATCCTGGAGAAAAGAAGTGGAAATGTTCTTCATTATTTACAAATTCAAGCACCCTCTGTTTGGAGACCTCTTTCTTTCTTTGATTTTTATTCAATTTTGCTTTTCAAAGAGGCTTCAATCTAACATTCAAACAAAAAACCAAATCCTAAATCTATCTATTATCAAGTATCCCGTAGATATTAACCATGCTTTGCTGATCACTGTGAGGTTTGCCAATGATAGGTGATGAACTTTGTCTCTCTTGCCCTACATTGACTGTCAGACTGTCATTCCTTTGATTTTTCAATTCCCACTCTGTCAGGACCAGGCTTCTCTGAAGATATGAGCAACAACAGACATCCTGTGAACTGGGAGGGAAAGCCAAAGCATAAGAAAGATGAGAGAGCATATCTGAAGTATCATACATCTGTTTTGGTTCACTTGGTTTGACCCTGGCTGGATGCCAAGTGCCCACTGAAGCCACCCTATCACTCCTCTCCTCAGGTCAGGGGAGAGAAAATACAATGAAGTCTCATGAGTCAGGATAAGGACAGGGAAAAATCACTCACCTGTTATTGTCATGGAAAACCAGACTTGACTTGGGGAAATTAGTTCAATTTTTTTACCACTCCTTCTTTCTCAGGGGGAGGACTCCTCACACTCTTCCCCTGATCCAGCATGGATCCCTTCCACAGGTGAACTCTATGAACTCCTCCAAGGCAAGTCCTTCTCATGGGGTGCAGATCTTCATGATCATGCTCCAGTGTGGGTCCCTTCCATGGGTGCAGTCCTTCAGGAACAGGCTTCTCCAGCATGGGTCCCCCACAGGGTCACAAGTCCTGCCAGCAAACCTGCTCTTTCCCCAAGGGTAGGATCCTGCCAGGATCCTACTCCAGCATGGGCTTCTCACAAGCCTTCAGCCTCCTTCAGGCGTCCACCTGCTGTTACATGGGGTCATCCACAGGCTGC